TCTTTCCTTATTCTTTTCAACAAAAAGAGAAGAGAATGTACAGCCAATAGACAGATGTAACAGGTAACATTTTCAAAAGAATCAGAATAGAGGCATGCAATAGGCGTAGTGGCTACCATTACGGTTGGACAGTGGCCGTTCACACCGTTATTCAGTTCGGCTCCATATATTGCATCAAACAAGAGACACAATAACAGACTACCAAAAGGGAAGCAAGGGAGTCTAATACGATTTATATTTTTCTTTTCTTACCATATAAGCCTGCTGGGTGGGCTGGAATAGCTGCGAGGGCATTCTGCTCCTCCACTGACAAAACCTTCAAATACAGACAGTGATGGGAAAAGGAAAGTAAGTCCACAATAGAAGAAAACGTCAATTTGAGACTGCACTTGAAGAAAGAATCTACTGATTCATGGGAAACGTACGGGCAGCGCTGTCAAGAGACTATCCACAAAAGCTCTTTCAGTTAGTAAACTTGAAGAGTCGGACTCAAGGATATCAGGTTTAAGGTGAACAATAGGGACTGGACATTCGGCTTCTATGACTGATTTTTCACTCAAAACCTCATCATCTGTAGCAACATGATCATACTGTACATCTGTATTCGTTATCGAACACCTGGAACTCAAATGCTCAAACCTGCAAACAAAAACACAGAGTGGATAAAGATTACTTATGTCACACGTCAGCCTTTTAATAATCTGAATATGGATGATCGTTAACATGCCACCGCAACCAGGACCCTTTGACTGAAGCAAAGTAATGACTGTCATTGGACCCGCTTCCTTTTCCTATACGATAATGGTGAAGGATGAACTACAATGGAGTTACATTTCCTAAATACAACAGTACTTTACATAGAAGAAATATATACAAATTCTCTTGATGAACTAGCAGTACGAGAGAAAATCATAACAAAGTGTGGGTTCTTAGGCTCCGTTTGTTTCGCGGAAAATGAATGATTCAGAAAATATTTTCCTAAAAATGATCGCTTGAAAAATTACTCAATGAAAAATGTTTTCATTATCAACAATAATTTACGTCTAAATATTTTCAAAAACGATGAAAATATTTATCATCCATTCATTTTGGTAAGGAAAATGTCCGCCAAAAATGGAGCCTTAATCTAATCTCACGATTCCTCCCCACACCACCCCCCCCCCCCTCAAAAAAATAACAACCTCTAAAAAGTCTCTGGGGCAAAACACCACAGAGAAGCAAGAAAGCACAACTTCATCTTCGTCTTTCAGTCCTCAAAAACATGTCATTATTTCTCAATACCCCGTAGCAGATTGCAGTGACTGCCCCCCTTCAAGCACAATCACTTCGAATTGACATTAACTCACAGAAAAAACCCAGGCTTTCCTGCTCTCTCGTACAGCCCATAAAATGAAATCCTATCCAAATCATAAAAACGACAAACGGCTACACTGCAAAAAGAGAACCAAACCCCCGCATAGAGAGCCCTCAAGCAAAAAAAAAAACCATACCTTCCGGAATCGAGCGGGTGGCTGCTGAAGTTCAGCCATCGGCAAGAAGCGAGGCGACGGCGAAGGCGAGGGGAATGCCGCGGCGGAGGACGGGCGGCCCCGGGGAGCGAGAGCGGGCTCGCGGCGGAGACGGCGGCGGCGGCGACGGCGACGGGCATGGCGGGCCGCCGATCCGCAGCAGCTTCCTCAAGTGCCTGAGCTCGAAGGGCCAACCGCTGCTGGAGCCTCCCACCCACAAACTCATGCAGGCTGCGCTGGCGAACGACGGATTGCCGCGGCCACAATCAGGCTCATGGGAGGGAGGAAGAGAGGGCGGGAGGAAATGGGTCGGATCGCCGGCGAGAATTCGACGGAAACCGCCGGAGAAAAATCGAGCCTTGGCGTAGCGGCGGACGCTTCAATGGCCGTGGAGAGAGAGAGAGGGGGAGAGGGTGGCTGAGTCTTGGTGGATGGCGAGTCCACGAAGCTCGAAATGTTTTGTTTTTTGTTGTTTTGTTCTTTTCAATTTATTTTTTTTTGGGGTTTTTAATTATGGGGCGAAATAAGCGTAGAGGGAGAATGATTTTTATTTATTTTAATTTCGTGTGACCAGATAAATTGACCATTTTGCATGCTGATGTTCCGCGAAAGTAAAAGATGGTGAGGAGACAGAAAGAGAAGCCGACCGGATCAGATCGGTCGGGGAAAAATGGGATTTTTCTCTTTGGCCAGGAAAAGGCAAGAAGATGAAACGCAATTGGGGTTTTTTGCTTCAATAAATGAAAAGAAAATCCATATACGGCGTTGTTATCTTAAAAGAAAAGTGACGGTGGATCTTATTTTAAATAAGGATCCGGTGTGGATCTGATTTTGGCCGGCCTAATCGGGGGCAATCCGGTCCGAAAAAATCTTGCTCTTTGACCCGGTTCAACTTGCTGGGTTGGTGAAGATTAGATAGACCAATGAGCTCGAACCCTTATCTAAGATAAGTTGACATTTGGATTCTCTGATCGCATTACAGATTCTTATTTAAAATTGAGATGGCTTCGTGAGGGGGGAGGGGACACCCATTTGCCATGATCAATTTTGAAAATCTAGGCTTAGCTCCCATTGGGTTCTGTCATGAAATTGTGATTAGACGTCCAATTTTGCCCCTCCCTCCATTTCAACTCCATCCACTTATCCAAAACACCCACCAACCCGAAATCGAGCCGCCGCTTGCCATTCACGGCCGCGCCTGTGATGCCTGTCATCTCCCTCCCTCTATTCTACCTGCCATCGAGCTTGGCGACCCCTCCATCGCCGCCGATATCCAACAAAGTTTGCTCTGGCTCTACAATCTCTGCTCTGGCTCTACAATCTCGTGGGCTTGAGTTCAAGTTTGTGAAGCGTTCGGATAAACAGAAATTGAATAGGCGAGCCAGGGTAAGAATTCGCGCGATGCATGACATAGTTCTTGAAGAATATATCAAAGATCTGAAAAGATTTTCGAGTTAGAACTTAAATGTGGCTTGGATGTTTTCTTTCATTAGTTTAAGATATAGGGTATGTATATTTATAAACAGAAACTTTTAATTTGCTAGCCATTTTGAACGATTCAATATTTTACCCTTTTTAGGGTCATTTAGAATTCCTTAATATAAATATTAGCTTTGTTCCGATAAATCAGAATATACTCTAAAGAGAATTCCTCTATTAAGTGAAAATAGTGAGACCAAGTTAAAATTTTAGTTTGTTCGATTATAATCTTATTTGAAATGGAGGGAAAATTTCAATTAAGAACCCCAAGTGGGGTCAAATTCTTAAAAGAGGGCTCAAAGTAAATATAATGTCAAATAAGGGCCTGAAGTGCCCAATCAGTCGCAAATAAGGACCCGAAGTGCCCAAAAAGTTTCAAATAAGGGCCTGGGTCGGCGGGCGGCCAAAATGCCTGCCGGCCGGCAAGAATGTTACTGTTCAGGCACCGGAATAGTAACTTTTTTAATTTTTTTATTATTTTTGCCTTTCTGTTTTTCCTTTTCTTTTTTTTTCTTCTCTTCCTCCGCCGGCCATAGCCGGGGCCGGTGGAGGTTGCCGGCCTCAGGCGAGGCCGCCCTCACCGGCGTCGGGCGAGGTCGGCCTCTCCAGTTGCCGGCGAGGGCTCGCCCTCGCCGGTGTTGGGCGAGGCTAGCCTTGCCGTTGCGGGCGAGGCCAGAGGCCTCGCCCGACGCCGGCGAGGGCTCGACCTCGCCCGGCGGCCGGCGAGGTCGATGCCTCGCCGGGCCGGGCGAGGCTCGACCTCGCCGGCGTCGGGCGAGGTCGAGCCCTCGCGAACCGGCGAGGCTCGACCTCGCCGGCGTCCCGCGAGCCGGCCTTGCGGTTGCGGTGAGACCGCCTCGCCCGACGCCGGCGAGGTCGAGCCTCGCCCGGTGGCCGGCGGGGCCGAGCCCTCGCCAGATCTGGCGAGGCTCGACCTTGCCGGCAACTGGCGAGGCCGACCTCGCCCAGCCCAGGCGAGGGCGGCCCTCACCCAACGCCGACGAGGGCGGCCTCGCTTGAGGCCGGCGACCTCCGCCGGCCCGGCTATGGCTAGCGGAGGAAGAGAAGAAAAAAAAAAGAAAAGGAAAAGGAAAAGAAAAAAAAACAGAAAGGAAAAAATAATAAAAAAATTAAAAAGTTACTGTTCCGCCGTCGGAATAGTGAAATTCTAGCCGGTCGGTGGGCATTTTGGCCGGCCGGCGACCCAGGCCCTTATTTGAGACTTTTTGGGCACTTCATACCCTTATTTGACACTATGTTCACTTTGGGCCATCTTTTGAGAGTTTGACCCCACTTGGGGTTCTTAATTGAAATTTTCCCTGAAATGGAAGAAGTAACGTTATTTACCCTATATATCCTGCAATTAATTGGCATATACACACTAATTTGAAGTAAGAAAATCCAAATAATGAGAAGACACGTTTCATACTAGACCTGTCAATGGGTGGGTCGGGTCGGGTCATAAATGGTCCGATCCAAATTGACCCATTAACCCATTTATGCGTAATGCAATTTTCTTGACCCATACCCAATCCATACCCGATCAAACCCATATTGCTAAAACACTTCCATATTTAATTAAATCTAGGAAAATTCATACCCATACTGAGATGAGAGCGCGAAGTGAGTGAGCGTAGGTTGAGTAAGGGCGATAGAGATAAGTTGAGTTTAAATCAGTTATAAACTCATTTATGATCCATTTACGACCCATTTATGACTCATTTAATATTAATATTAGACTTCTACCCATTTATAACACATTTACTAAATATAATTAACACATTTATGGTCAATTTATTAATATATGGGTTAAGAAATGAGTTTATGACCCATTTTGACAGGTCTATTTCGTACCAATACAGGCATATAGGGAAAGATAATCCATGTGACGAAGAAGAAGATGATTTCATATAATTTCTTTTCGTGTCGAGAAAGCACACCTTAAATAGGTAAAATTTCAAATCACTTGCTGTAATAGAAACGGAAAAATGAAAGAAATCCCATTTACTTTCATCAGGGCTTAAGTTCTTTCCCCACGGGAGTGTTGGCAAGCCATCCTTCTCGATCAAGGAAGTACGATCTTGAGAAATATACAAGCTGTGTCTTGTTGAGCTGCTTCTCCCACCGAACTCTCTGGGAAGTGTCCGAGCCACCTCCTTCGCAATCCACCTCGGCATACATGATGTTGTCCCTAGAATTCACCCGAAGAAACGATAAACGGCATGATTAATCGGGCGAAGGAGCACAAAGAAATAGGACGAAACACCGGGATCGCCGGTCGAGCGAACTTACTCGTGTCCCCGGAAGTTCCAGGGATCCCAACCTTGAGGAGCCACACCGGCCGACAGCAATGTCTTATGGAATATGACCCTGGAATAAGGACCATATGCCCTCCCTAGGAGGAACTGGCCACCCCCGACGACGGTGCCCCGTTCGAACACGAACCCGCTCGGGTCGCCCGGCGACGCTCGACCCTGAGCCGTGACCCAACCGTACTGAAGACGGTAGGGCGGCAAACCAGCCGTAACGTTCATGGTACAGTCCTACATGAGTGGAAATTTCAACCGTCTGTTTAGACATTGGATCTGCATATCGAACATAACCAACCATCCCTGATATTTTGATCAATTTGAGGGCAAATTGATTAATCTAGACGGCTTTCGATTGAAAGACCACGCTATACCACCGCGTCGTACCTCGAAAAAGGATTGGCCGCTGCCGAAGATGAAGTCGACCACGCCCTCGATGTAGCACGAGTAGAAATAATGCCGGCCCAGCGCATCCCACAACGTATCTTGCACCCCCAGGAAGCCGCAATCGTAGAACACGCACTTATCTCCATATATCCTCGCCGCTAACGCTTGAACTAGGGGTGGCTCGTTGGCTTCGCTCCAGTACCAGTTGTACGAATTCTGCGAACACGAAACAAGGAAACAATCTACTGTCTGCTGAATTGTTTGCGAGGAACAATGCCAGTCGTATACCGATTTGGAACACGAACACAGCACTGACCTTAAAAGTAATGCCTTGAACGACTATGTTGTCTGGGTGGGAAGTGAAAGTAGCACTTGTATCTGTTTCTTCATGAGAATCGAAAGTAATTATCGTCGAATGACGGCTCTTTCCTTGAAGAAAAATGCACGGCTTGTCCGGCGGGATAGTCACCATCTCTCTGCAACATGTTATCAAGACTTGAATGTTGTAACTAAAGCGCACACCGACACCTATAGGCAACAAGAGCAATGCAACTCAAACTACAGGCTCGGAAGACAATACTGTACTTATATGTCCCGGGGTTTATTCCGATGGTAAACCACATGTTGTTTCCCGAGGGAACGGAGTCGATAGCCGCTTGAACCGAGGTGAATTGTCCGCCACCGTGCTGGTCGACGGAGATGGTGCTGTGTCCGTTTCCGGCTCCACAGTCCACCGATTCGGAGGACGAAAGCAAGATACAGAAGAGCGGTGTAGTAAATAGAGCTGTGAGAAGAAGCTGCATCTTCTTCTCTATCTTCCTTACGGTATGGGGGTCAAGATCTCAATGAATTCGACAGGTAACTGCAAGAAATGATGGTGATGACATATATGAAGATTGTCCGGGATTCTTATGAACTTGAGATATTATACTGGAGTCTCGTTTCCATTTTCGCACATCATGCAAATTAAGGAAACGAAATATTGCACGTATGGGAGCAAAGTTGCATATTCTTCATTGGCCTCCGCATACGGTCGAGAGTCATTCTATGTGGTTTCTCTTTATTTTCTTGATAAAATCTGTGAAGGAATTTACAAGAAACAGACATGGAGGGCTGCAATTTATAGTATAATTGAACAAAATCAGTGCACTTAATGTTAAGGGTGAGTAATTCCAAGTTCCGTATAAGTACCAGATTTCGTATAGATTCCACCCGAAACCTAGAACCTACCCGTTGGAACAGGTACTTCATTTTTCAGAACTTCGTGCATAACTTAGAACCTTCCTTGTCACAAGTTTCAGGGTCTATCAAGGTTCCACATGTATTATCAATTGAACAATTGCAATGAATCAAGGTTCCACCTGTATTATCAATTGAACATTTGCAATAAATCATCACATTTAATGACTACCACTTGCTGCTATAATCCACTAACCACAAATTATATCTAGACACAAGAAGAATATGAAATATTAACAAAATAAAAGTCTTAGTCATGAAATGGAAGCTCTGACTTGTGGTTCTAGATTATACACTAATCATCGGACGCTATGAAATACCGTAGGATCACGAGACGACATAGACCAAGAAAAACACAAACTTGTTCCAGGTTTCAAGTTTCGGGTTCCCGGTTCCACCTACCTAGAACCTAGAACCTACCAATCGAAACAGTTCCCTTATTTTTGGAACCTGGAACATACCCGGCGTTCCCTGGAGCCAAACACCCCATCGGTTCGGTTCTCTGGTTTCAGTTTTTGGAACCATGCTCACGCCTACTTAATGTTGCAATTCAGTTGAAAATTACAGTAAAACATTCTTTTTTTGCCATTTAAATACTTCGTCGTTTCACTATACTCTATAGACTTCATCTCCAGCTATGGTTGGAAAATCATATCAAAAGAAATAAATCGTTCATATTCATATCAGACTTGCAAGATCAGAAGATATAGAATCTTATTATATGTAGTAACTAGTGATTATAATTTGATAAGTAGAGGTACCAAAATATGTTAATTTTTTCTTTCTCAGCTCTGGTTCATAGATCCCAGACACAGCAGACCCGTTTTGGAGTTTTTTCGCAAGGTGATCATCAGGCATATGCTAGTACAATTGCCCAGATTCTTAAACAGATCCCACCTTGTGCTAATTATTCTTTATCCATGTTGTCCGACATTCAGAAGGAATAAACATTTGATACTAAATAGATCGATCTGATATGCGAAGATGATCAGTCGATACTTCACAGCTCTGAGTGCAGTTCCAGGAATTGGCACGGCCGCAGTACTCCAAAGCTCTAATTTATTTCGCTTTCATTCTCTCAGGCCGATTCTTTTACTTAGTACCTAGCTTCTTGATCAAATGGCAAGAGAACGGTTCAAGATGAAAATTTCCCACTTCAACATGGCGTTTCCTTACCGTCATTACCTAATTGGGGCTGGTTCAGATGAACAGAAGATCCGGTTGCTCAAATTCATTCGAACGGATTAGCAGTTTTATCTCCCGGTCCGATGCTATTTGTCAGGGCGCACGACCCATGCCCGAGGTTTGTCATTTGCAAACCCAGCACACAGACGATAGAACAATCCGACAAATTGACACAAACCATGGCAGCAGACACTTCAAAATACCGAAGCCAAAGGATCCAACTTACATACCACATCAATTACAGACAACTTGAAAGAACATCTATATCAGATATCGAAACCAACTAGCTCTTCCATGTGGAAGAATCCAGGTCGGACACGATTCTAATGACTAGACTGGATTCCAATGACTAGTTATTGGCGTCGCTTTTGCATTTAATTGGATTATTTATCAGTACTGGGTTATCTGATTCTCTGTGTATCAAGGTTGTGCCTCGACCCAGCCTTCCTGGTTCATGAAGTTTTTCGAGAGAAGGTACGTCAGTTCTTGAGGCGGCAGGTGTTTCATCCATTTCACGCGCCGGGAGTTGTCAGCGCCATCTCCCGTGCATCCGGTCTCGGCAAACGTGATATCATCCCTATATAATAAGGTCCGAATTAGAATTTAAGACGGTACTGGACCGACTTATAATGTTTTTTTGCCCTGTATCCAAAGTAGTTAAGCACAAAATTCTTTTTCTGCGTGACCAAAGTGGATTTAGCAAAATAGAAGCACATCTTAATTCTTACTCATGGCCTTGGAAGTTCCAGGGGGACCAACCCTGGGGCACGACGACCTTGCTCATGTATGTCCTGTAAAATAGGACTCTCGAGTACTGCCGCCACGCTCTCCCGAGATACGTGGATCCATGTCCTGCCACCATGCCGAATTGGAACACAAACGCACTCGGGTCGTTTGGTCTGTCTCGGTCTTGTGCCGTGATATAACCGGCCCTGCCAATATGGGAGGCTACGGTCTTCACCACGCAATTCTGTTGTGCGATTGGCACGAGTGTCACAACTCTCGGAATACAAGAATTAAAAATTTATTTGATGAAATCTTCGATTTAATTCGATTGGTATGTCGTTCTCCTTTACCTTATACAACGACTGGCCACGGCCCCAGATGAAATCTATGGCTCCCGAAATGAAGCAGCTGTCGAAGTAATGTCGGCCTTGCAAGTCCGCAAGAGTGTCCTGAATGCTGTGAAAGCTGCACCTGCGAAACGACACCTTGTCCCCCGTGATTAGAGCAGCCGGAGCCCACGTAATGCGAGTATTATTTACGTACCCTCTCAAGGTACTGTAGCTGTTCTGCACGAACATTTCCCATAAACAATGTCTCATTAGTCATCATCAAGTGAAAGATTAGACAGACGGAGAGAGCGCGATAGAGCTCCAATAGAGTTTGTTGACCTTGAAGGTAATATTCGATGCGACGATATTATCTGCATAAACCTGGAAAGTGGCGGCTTCGGTGGCTTTTCCGGCATCCAAGTACTGGATGGTGGTCGTCTCACTACTTTCGCCTTCGAGGAAAATGTACTGTTTCGTAATAGGAATCTTCACCTTTTCACTGAACAAGCAAGACAATCACTACCTAAGCGATCACTCGACACAAAACATATTCTTCCACGGAAAAAAGAAATGAGTGACTTTAGCCGAAACTCACTTATAGGTTCCTGGTTTGATGTGGATACGTATCCACTGATTGTTATTGTCCGGGACAGAGTCGATAGCTTTTTGGACCGAGGCATAATTCCCTGAACCGGACTTGTCCACGTATATGGTGGTTCGGACAACTACAGAATTTGGACTAGATTCGCGTGCACCGGATGCATTAGAAATGAGCAAGAGACCTATCATCAAGTGAAGGATAAGTTTAAAAGAAGACATCATGAGAGAAGAAAAGATGAAGATACCGAAAAACAACGCCCCAACTGCATCGGACAATCTCGCACTCCAACTTCACTTATAGCAGGACGAGCAAAAGCTTGAATGGCAACCTTATCCTTCTCAAATTGAAGGCAAAACAAGAATGTTCCTTTCAGGAGAAAGACAGCTACTCACGGGATGGCGCGCGAAGTCTACAGTCTCTGAGTTCGTGCTCATCTTCTGTCCAACCTACCAAAATTCCATATACTCTGCCTGAATCTATCCTGCTAAACTCTAACCCAAAATGGGATCTACTGGAGTTGCCATTATGAACAAAATATGAGCAAATGAGGGAACTTAATGGAAGATGCCAAGAGTTTCCATGTTGCAGAAGAAGACAAAGTCACAGTAAGTACACAATGATCGGGAAAGTAATAAATTACCAACGCCTCTGAAAATTTTATCAGTGTTGTGGGTGAATTATCAACACTGTCAGAAGTTTACAAACATTCTACTAGTTGAGTAAGTTGCCAACTTTTTTCGAGCTTATAATCGTGATTT